AAAATTATGGTACATATACACAATGGAATACTACGCAGCAGAAAGAAAAAAAGAAGTACTAAACTTTGCGACAGCATGGATGGAACTGGAGAGCATCATGCTAAGCGAAATAAGCCAGGGGGCGAAAGACAAATACCATATGATCTCACCTATAAGTGGAACCTAACCAACAATGCAAAGAAGTGAGGAAAATATGACCAGCAACACTGAAAGGAAAAGAAATCAACAGAGACAAGAGGGAAGGTGGGGGGCAGGGAAAGGGAAGGGAAGGGGAAAGTCAAGGAACATATAGCAAGGACTCATGGACAAAACCAAAGGGGAAGGGCTGAGGGAGGGAAGGTGGGAGGAGGCAAGGGAAAGAGGTGGGGGGAAGGCAGAGACAAATGTATTTAAAAAGTAAATAAATTAATTAAAAAAAAAAAGAACAGTATAGGAAATGGAAAGACCAAAGGACTTATATGTACTAACTCTGGACATGAACTAAGGGGGGGATGCAGGTGGGAGGGAGGGTGCAGGGCGGAGGGGAATATAGGGGAGAAAAAAAATGGGACAACTGTAATAGCATAATCAATAAAATATACTAAAAAAAATAAAATAGGTTTTCAATTTCTTTCTCTCTTCTCCTTCTGGCACCCACATGATGCAAATGTTGGTACGTTTGAAATTGTCCCAGAGACTCCTTTTTTTTTTGAATTCCTTTTTCTTTTTGCTGTTCTGACTGGGCGTTTTTTCTTCTTTACATCCTAAAACACTGATTTGATTCTTGGCTTCATCTACTCTACTGTTGATTTCCTGTACATTATTCTTCATTTCAGTTACTGTTTCCTTCGTTTCTGACTGTTTCTTTGTTGTGGTTTCTTTGTCTTTTTCCATGCTGTTGAAGTTCTCACTAAGTTCCTTGAGCATCCTTATAGCCATTGTTTTGAACTCTGTGTCTGTTAGTTTGCTTACCTCCATTTCTCTTTCTGGAGATTTCTCTTGTTCTTTCATTTGGACCTGTTTCTTTGTCTCTGCATTTTGGCTGTTTTCCTAAGTTTTTTTTTTTTTTTTTCTATGCATTAGGTAGAATTGCTGTTCTTTGGGCTTGATATAGTGGCCTTATGTACCAGGTGTCCTGTAGGCTGTAGTGGCACAGACTTATCAGTCACCTGAGCTGGGCACTCAGGTGTACTTTTTGTGGGCTGTGTGCACTGTCCTGTTGTAGTTGAGCCTTGATTGTTGTTAGTGTCACTGGGAGGGGCTGACGCATAGGCTGATATGCTGTGAAGACTGCCTGTGACTACTGTAGAGAAGTTGCTGTGCAGGCATCAACCTCATGGAGAAAGACTTGCTACAGTGGGGCTTTGGTGCTCACTGAGTCCACCCCTTGAGTATGTTACTCATGGTGGTGGTAGGGTGTAATCCTGCCTGGTCTGAAGCTGTCCACTGGGTGCACTGGCCTTTCTCAAGGTGCATGGTCAGCCACTGCCTGTGCCTTATGCAGGGGCACTCAGAATGAACTACAGAGTGATCTGCAGATGGCTGCTACTTGTGCTGGGCTTGGAGGTGACAAGGAGAGGCCAAGCTTGAACCAAGTCCAGCTGCTGCTAATGCCAGGCCTGGGGCCACTTAACCAGAGGTATGGGGCATGCCATGGCTAGATGCTGCTTGTTTGGAAACTGTGAACCTTTGAGAGATTTTGGGAAAGTCCACAGTAAGAGCCAAAGACAGGCAGTTTGTGTAGTAAAGCCACTAGAAATGGCTTGGGTGGGCATGCAAGTTGGGTGGGGCAGTGACTTAGGGAATCACTAGGGCAGGACAAACAGTGTTAGCTAGGTTGATGGAGACTCAGATATGGCACCTGCCTGCCAGGTCTATGGGGTGAAGGGAGGCTGCCCCTCCAGCCCTTGCCTGATGCCAGACAACTCATTTCTTCCCTGTATGCCCCTCTTGCCTTTTGAGCTGCTGACCCAGTGCTGGAGCTCAGAGGGAATGAGTCTCAGTAAGTCCATGTACAGGCTCTTTAAGAGGAGCTGCCTGGGGCTCCAGAAGCCTTCATCTCACTCAGCCTCAATCTCCACTGGTTTTAACACCCAGAAGTTATGGGACTTCTCTTCCTGGCACTGGAACTCTGAGCTGGAGGGCCTGATACGTGTACCTGTGCAACTGAGATATCCCTCCCAATTTTTATCCACTACACGTGGGTGTGGGACTAACCCTTCCATGTCTCCACCCATGCTACCAGTCTCAAGTGACTTAATTCCCTTGATGTAGGACTTCCATTCAGCCAGATTTCAGGTGGTTATAAATGATGGTTCTGCAGCTTACTTGTAATTTTGATGTGGTTGTGGGAGGATTGGAGTGCTGCATTTACCTACATAGCCAACTTGACCAGAAGTCCTATAGTGCCATTTTCTATTTCAAGGAAGCACTTTAACCAAGTATGGGTTGAAGTCTGAGTAGCCCTTTTCTCCCCCATTGATTTGTTTTATTTCTACCCTACCATGTTCTGAAAAGGATTTATGTAAAAACATACAGTACAGTATTTAACAAGTAAAGGAGATTATTTGACTTCCGGGTGAAATAGTACCTAAAATGAGGTTAATACCCCCAATTCTATGTACACCTGAGCCACAAATCAGGTCTGAGAAACCTGGCAGGCCACACAGAGGAGGTAATGTGGTCAGTTACTGTAATTACAATGACCATCACATAAAAAGCCTGTCATAGTGGAAAACATTTTCTGGCAGTGAAGCCTGGAAGACTTACTTTCATTCTCATAACGAAGAAACCCTGTATTTTCAGTAAATAAAACAAAGGTATGTATCTTGTAATGGCCCCAGATGTTAGCTGATGGCTAACACAATTCATTCTAGTAAGGATCCAGGCACCCAGGTCTCTGATGGTTTGGTTTAATACAGGAAAACATTTTTGAATATTTGGGACAGGGTTTATCAACTGGGACTTATGAAGCCTAGTTTTTATAAGCATGTTTGTAAAGATCAGAAACTCATGCAACCATCATTTGATTCCCATGATACAAGCAACATACACAAGATCTCATTAGTTGAAATGTTGGGCCCGGCCTTTTGATTTTTTATGGATCCTGATCTCCAAGGCTGCCTCTTAGGCAGACTGAAGCTTTTAATATTATAGCTACTTAATATTTTCATTACTTATCAGAAGCATGGTTTAAGTATTTAATTGAAGTAACATTTTTAGAGACACTGTCATGGTCAAAGAGATTTTACTGTGTTTAGAGTTGAGAATAAAAAGAGGAGCTGCTTAAAAGATGCTAATTCATGCTAATTGAATACAGATTTTATTGTTTATAGACACAAATGGACATGATAATTAAGAATGATAAAGAAGAGATATTGGCAATAGTAACTAAAGGAAGTGTGGCAACCTGAGAAGATAAACTTTAATATAAGAATAATTGCTTTTTGTTTCTGATTCTTATGTACTGTTTTAAGCTCTAATGACCATTATTTATAAATGGGTCAGGCTAACAAAGCTTCATTCCTGTGATATGTTGTTAAATAGAGGTGTTTAATGGAGGAAAAAGGAAAGGAGAATATTTTGATTGAGGACAGGGCACATAAACTTGAGAAATGCATCATCGTAAGTTAGAAGTAGCCTTCATTTCAGGGACAGGAACTCGAAAATAACCTAGTGCTTGACCTCTAGCTTAGTCTGAGCACTAGTTTTTGCCAGATGATGGATAGCTAGATGTCCTTGAACTTGAGTATCAGGTTGATGAAGAGCTACTATTACCCCCGTTCCCACAAAATTCTGACCAGAACGATATTGTACTATATTCAAGGCCTTCATGATTCTAATTTTGTGCAGTATGTAATGGTACTCATCTCCTAGGGTTGCATACATCATTATTAAAGAATATGAGTTTTCATTAGATATGACACTGCTAGGTACTATAATGCAGGCAATTTTTGTGCTTTCCAGGATAATTGATCCAAGATGCCAATAATACAGAAAAAAGATCATGCTAACAAGATACAATCAGGAAATGATATGTAAAATGAGTAAAGTATTCGTACCACATGCAGCTGGGGTCCAGTTATATTTTAAGATGACAGTAAGTACTCAGGGTAAGAATGACCTTAGACTAAGTGTGATTTGGGAAGTCTTGTTCTCAGCAGGTTGACCTGAGAAGACTTCATGAAGAATTTAGATGTTCAAGAAGTTAATCTATGTATTTCTATTAGGTGGGATAGATAGCAAACCAAGGCAGGGAGGAGGAAGGAGACATGTCTCATCTCTTGGCCCAGCAGTTCTGAGCCCAAAGTCCCCAAAGATTTGGGTTCCTACTACTTGAGGGGGAAATGTTACATAGCGGCTAGAATGAGCAGCCAGAGGAGAAATAAAAGAAGGGCCCTCACCATTAAAATCTAACAAAGAACTTAATACAGGGAGTAAAGAAAGTCATGTCTCACCCATTGGCCCAGTTGTCCTGAGCCTGGCTTGATAAGGCTGCCAGGCATTCTGAACAACACCAGCAAAACTATGATAGTGCAGGAGACGGGGTGGGGAGCCCTTGAAAGTCTGTGTGTATCATCCATACTAGCTGGTAAAAGGAAAACCTTCAGACTGTGTGTTCATTCAAGGCCTGGAAGGGGAAGGGGATGAGGTCCACATTGAAGCCCATAAAACAACTTTGGTTAATTGCCTGCCTCCTGTCATGTATACAAAGTGAACAAATAGAGTCTGGAGCAAGATAAGAATTCAAGCTAATAGAACCCCACACATACCTCACACATACCTATGTTTGGGTAGTCATGTCCCCCCAGGAAGGCTGGCACCACCTTTACCTGTCAATCAATATGTAACTTCTTCACCCCCATCCTGCCAACTATATAAATCCTCAGAACAAAGGACTTGCTCTCTTGGCTCTTTTTCCATATGGGACAGGAGGACCCTGGCCAGCTGGACTCTGACCAGGGGACCTCTGGCCACCCCCTTTTGGCCACCCGGCCTCTGACCACCTGTGCACTGGTTACCTGGTCTCTGGCCACGCTGCTCTTGCCACCCTTACTTTTGCTTTCCCAATAGAACTTTGCACTAATAAACTTTGCCTGCACACTAATAGCCTTGTTGATCTGTAATTCGTTACTGCGTTGACAAGAAGAACCGAGTTTCTGGGAGTTTCCCCTATAACATTTCTACTCAGACTGAGAGGGTATAGGTCTTTTTTGGGTCTGATTTAACCATAAATTGGTACTGGAGGGGAGACAATGTTGAACTTGAAATTCAGACCCATTCTGGTATAGTGCAGAATCCTTGGAGCCAACCTGTTCTCATACTAGCCAAGAGGATTGGATCATATTTGAGAGGCAAATGTTCTCTACCTCTTTGGATACTGTTCCATGCTGCCTCAAGACTTTTTCCTTTTTTGTTCTTTTTTTCATGACTAAGCCTGACATCAACCTTATTTTCTTAATCGGTGTTAGTTACATTTTTCATATTTTTACAGGTAGTCAAAAAGTTAGTGCCTCTAGGTCAAGATTACTTTGCTTGTTTCCTCTGAGTGGTGATGAGCTCCACTTGTATTTCCTCATCTGGTCTTCACAATGGCCTTTTGTTAATGAATTCAGTCTAACAATATAGATACTCAACAACTGTTAGTAATTGTTATTAGTGGTAATACTTATATCAGTACTTTTCAAAGTGGGAATCATCAAAATCAGAATTTAATGGAAAACTTTAGGCACCCAACTCCAAATATACTGCACCAGATTCTCTTGGAGGTGGTAGCCTGGAGTGTTGTTAAAACAGTTCCTGAAGCCCTGGCCAGTGTGGCTCAGTTGGTTGGTTGCCATCCTGCAAAGCAAAAGGTCAGTGGCTCCATTCCCAGTCAGCGCACTTGCCTAGGTTGCGGGTTTGGTCCCCAGTCCAGGCACATGTGAGAGGCAACTAATTGATGTTCCTCTCTCATATCAATGTTTCTCTCCCTCTCTTTCTCCATCCCTTCCCCTCTTTCTCTAAAAAAAAAATTCCCCAAATGATTCTGATGTAGGGTTGATATTTGGGAGTTACAGAATTTAAGCAGTGTGTGATTCCAGCCTCTCTGTTCTTACCTCATTTAGGGAAAGGAGCCATCCAGAGGCTTTTTAAAAAAATTGAATATATTGGGGTGACCTTGGTTAATAAAGTTATATAGGTTTCAGATGTGCAAAACTGTAATATATCATCTGTATGTTGTATTATGTGTTCACTACCCCAAATCAAGTCTCCTCTCATCACTATTTATCCCCCTTATACCATTTTCTACTTCCCCAACCCCATCTTCTGTCTGGTAATCACATACTGTCATCTGTGTGGGGGTGATAAGTATATTAGGCCCCAGCCACAACCCATCCTTAGCAAGAGATATTTTAAAAGCAAGAGCAACAGTCTCTGTCCTGGAATCAGAATTCATGAACTCCTATGGCCCATGCTGCTCTTTTTTCTCTGACCCTCTGTCTTCTCCAGCCTACCTTCAGTGATCTTCCTGGATCTAACTTCTTGTTACCCTAGATATGTACTGTCAGCAAGCATCTACTACAAAGGTAAGCAGTTTGGAGTTTCAGAGTTACTTTTGATACCATTTATACCTTTTCCTATAACTTTTATCTGCAGTGGTTCACTTTTCCATGATTGGGGTTGGTTCAGGGCTGATTTTTTTTCTCCATTCCTTACTTTTCCTTGCATAATAACCTGATGTTGGTGTGTGTGTGTGTGTGTGTGTGTGTGTGTGTGTGTGTGTGTGTGTGGAGGGGATGTTGCATAAGCATTTTATAATTCAATGCTATAAATTTTTCTCTAACCACTGCTCTAGCTGCAGCCCACAAATTTGATGTGTGCTATTTTCATTTTCATTTGACTCAAAGTATTTTCCAACTTCCCTTGTCGTTTATTCTTTGACCAGTATATTATTTAGAAGTATTTGCTTAATTTCCAAATATTTGCAGATTTTCCAGTTATCCTGCTGTTACTGGTATCTAGTTCAGTTCTGTTGTTGTCAAAGAACATACTTTGAATTATTAAATCCTCTGATGTTTAATGATAGTTGTTTTGTGGCATAGCACTTGGTCTACCATGGCGAATATGAAAAGAATGTGTATTCTGTTCTTGTTGGATGTGGAGTTCTGTAAAAGCCAATTAGGTCCAGTTAGTTGGTGGTGGTACAAATTTGTATCCTTGGTGATTTTCTCTTAGTTTGATCTGTCAATTACTGAGAAAGGTGTATTGAAATTTACAAATATAATTCTGGATTTGTCTTATTTTTTCTTTCAGTTTTGTCAGTTTTTGCATCATATATTTTGAAAGGTGCATGCACATTTAGGATTTTATATTCTTGATAAATTGACCCCTTTATGAAAATGAAATATTCCCCTTCATCTCTGATAATATTCCTTATTATAATATCTACTTTAATATTAATATAGCTACTCGAGCTTTCTTTTGATTCTGTTTGCATGGTATATTTTTTCTTGCTTTTTAATTCAGTTAGACAATTGATTTTTTTTAACTCGAGTGTTTAGACCATAGATTTAATGGCATTACTGATATGGTTAGATATAAATATGACATCTTGCTATTTGTGTTATATTCGTCCTGTGTGTCTTATTTTTTTTTTTTCTGTTTTCTTGCTTTCTTTTAAATGATTTGTGCTTTCATTTTCTCATTGGTAAAATGAGGTTAGTAATAACCACCATTTCATAAGGTAGTCCTAAGGATTAAACAAGATAACTTATACAGTGGTGCTTGGCACATATATATACAGAGCTTGATATATATTTTTCTAAATCTGACAATGGTGAACTCCTTGGAATATCAACTCTTCAAAGTTTTTTGGTTCTTAACTTGCTCTGTACATATATAGGTAAGGTAGGTAATTGTCTACAGGTATAGTTTCAGTGGCCACTGAAAGGACCTTGTTCCAAAATATCTCCTCTTCTGGCTAGCTGTGGTGTGTGAAATTCTCACAATTATGCACTTTACAGGAACTTCTGGAGACGTATGTATTAATTAAGTCAAGCATAATGGGAGGAGCCAGTCAATTCTCTCACTAGTACTGAAGCACAAATGATTTCTGGTGGTATCCCATCATTCTCTCATGCTCCCATATTCCCTAGAAAAGTATTGAGAGGTTTTGCCTAGGCAAAAGTCAGAGAAAAGGACATGGTGTGATCCTGGGAAAGTGCCATAGTGGGCAGCTCCGATGGCTACTTGAAGGTCAAAGGAGAGGTGGGAAAGTTACCAAAAAGGACTTGGCCCACATGGTGGTTTTACCTTGGGCCATTTGTGAAGTTAAGCTTCTGGTTTTGTACTTGCTGGCTTCCTCCAGTTTCCTTGTAGGAGGAATTGATGTTTAGCTGTTTGACTGTTGTAATAGTTGACTTGTTCATACTTCCCATTTTACTCACCTCAAAAACATGAAATGGCTGATTTGGAAGTATACTTGGTAGTGGGTTGAGAGCAGCTGTACTTTTCTACTTTTGCCCCTTCTTTGAGGATTGGTTCGGTCCCAGTGAACTCTGCAACAATGATCTTGAATATAAGTTCCATAATTGCAGGAACTGTTTAAAGCCAGTAAGCTAACACAGTGGATGTCACTGTAGGTATTCAATAAATATTTGACCTATTTTTCATTTCCTCCAATTGAATACAAACATTTTAATTAGATTATTACCTCCTGTTTGACTCCCTGCCCTCACTCTTCTTTGGTTCATCTCACTTGGACCATTCATCTTCTCTAAACTGAGCCCCAGACTTAGGTTCCGGCCCCAATCCCATCATTTTCACCTATCATTTCTTCTCTCCTCCTCCTCCTCCTCCTATTTTTAGAGATTAGAGGCCTATTAACCTGTAAACTAAACTTCTTCACTATCCTGGGTACTTGTGGTTTACTTTACACAATGAATGTGTTCCTGGAAAGCACTCTAGAGTACACAAATGCATAAGTAAAAATAACTTTCTCATTGATTCACAGTTTCACTTCTGATCTTCATTTGTCAACAGATTCTAAAACCAACCCAGTGAGATAGTTAATAAGAGGTATTTAAACACAGAAAGAGATCCTAGTGAAATATTTCATGAAAAAAAATGAAGCTTTAGGAAAATGAATGTGTACTCTTGTGTCCTAAATTTGAATTTCATATATCGGCCTTCCTGAAAGTGAGGACCAGCTATATTTTCTCTCTTTAATTTTTTCCCCATGACTATTATATGGATTGTGATAGTTCCTTCTGAATTCTAGAGACCGAGTTTTCTTGCTTCATTTATTCATGTTAGTTATTTGTCATCAACTTGTAATAATTACAAAACAATCACTCATTCTACAAATGTTGATTGATCATGTAGGATGTGCAGGGCAAAATCTGTGCCAAGGTGCTCACAGTCTAGTATGCAAGGAAGATAAGCCAATAGGCAATTCCTATGCAGTGTGAATTGTGCTTTTATAGATAACAAAAGTAGGGAATGCTGTAGGAGCACAGAAGACGGGTGGGAGGTTGGAGGAAGAGGAGTTCAGGGAAAATTTCTTGGATTAGGTGATGTCTATAAAAGCACAAGTCTCAGACAAAGTTTGCTGGCACATGTCAAAGTTATATTCAACCAATTAATGAAAGAATCAGCAAATTGACAAGAATGCTTGTTCAAAGAGCATTTGAAAAACATGGATTCATCTAGTCAGTTGGGGAAATAGTGCCAAAATATGATGACTAAGGTAGATTCAAACCTGCCTAATGTTTTTTAGTGAAACAAACCGAAACTTTGAGGTTATTTTCTGAACCAAGCACCCTCCAAAATTTAAATCACATCCTGGTAGTTTTCTGCAAGGTGACCTCTAACTTTATAAGACTAACATTTGGACCCTAATGAATTGTGAATAGTTAGTCAAAGTTAAAAATCCTGAGTCAGGTAACTGACAGGCTTACTAGAAAGTTTGCTGCCACAATATTTAACAACTCACGTGATCATCATTTTCTCTTATTTTCAAGTTTTAGGTAAGTTTTTCTCTGTAGTCTTCTCTGTGACCTTGCACAATTTCTAAAGAGTACTCTTAGTCTCAAAAAAGTAGTTGATCTCATTATGTTTTGGGTCCAGATAATTGAATTTATTGCTGAGTTAATAATTTTCTGTAATTCTTAGAGGTAATAGACTCCGGTATCATTGTTCACAGTTATTCACTCCCCACCTTTCCTGTAAGAAGATTATGTATCCCTGCCCATTGCCAGGTGACTTGCCATGCCTCTTCTGGGAGGAGTACAGATTTGATTTTGAGTTCAACTGACATGGCTTTGGGAATAGAGTATGAGTGGATATGACATATGCCACCTTCAAGCAGAGGTTCAAGGTGATGATGTGGTTTGGCTTAGCTTGGCTTCTTGTGTCTGTCAAGAGAACCATAAGGCCCAGGTAAGGCCTCAGGCTGGGACCTAGAATGAAAAGACATCTATCTATGTCTGTGGAATAAAACTTCTCTCACAGTTGCAACTGACCTGCCATCAGCCCATGGCTTACATGTAATATGAACCAAAAAAAAAAAAAAAAAAAAGGCTGTAAGCCACTGAAATTTCCCCCTAAGATCAGGAACAAGACAAGAATATCCACTCTCACTTCTATTCAGCATTGTACTGGAGTTCTAGACAAGACAAGTAGACAAGACAATGAAATTAAAGGCATCTAAATTGTAAAGGAAGAGTAAAAATGAAGAGTAGATGATGATTTAGTATTCTTTTATATTTGCTTTTTTAAACATTTTTATTATTTTATTTTTAGAGAGCGGGAAAGGGAGGGAGAAAAAGAGGGAGCGAAACATCAATGTGTGGTTGTATCTCCCATGCCCCCTGCTGGGGACCTGGCCCACAACCCAGGCATGTGCCCTATACTGGGAATTGAACCGGCGACCCTTTGCTTCACAGGCCAGTGCTCAGTCCACTGAGCCACACCAGCTAGGGCTGATTTAGTATATTAAAAAATCCTAAGGAATTCACTAAAAACTATTAAACTAATAACCAAGTTCAGCAAAGTTGGAGGCTACAGAATTAACATACAGAAATCAACTATATTTCTATACAATAGCATTGACCAAATTGAAAATGAAATTAAAGATGAAGAATTAAATTGGGGTGTTGAACACACAATACAGTGTACAGATGATGTGTTGTAGAATTGTGCACCCAAAACCTGTGTAATTTTATTAAGCTGTGTCACCCCCATATTTTCAATTTAAAGGAAAAAAAATAAAATGAAATTTAAAAAATAATTTCATTTATAATGGCATAAAATATTAAAATATGTAGAAATAAATTTGACAAAACAAGTGTAAACCTTATTAAGGCTACACAATATTTTTCAAAGAAATTAAATAAGGTGTAAGTAACTAGAAAGACATCCTGTATTTATGGATTGGAAGACTTACTGTCATTAAGATGGCAATACTTTCCCAGTTGATCTATAGATTCAACCCAATCTTTATCAGCATTCCAGCTGGCTTCTTTGTAGAAATTGAAAAGCTAATTCTAAAATTCCTATGGAAATTCAAGGGACCCAGAAACACTAAAATAATGTTTAAAAAGAAGAACAAAGTTGGAGGCCTCACACTTTCTGATTTTAAAACTGTCTAAAATTAAAAAAATAATCAAGACACTGTGGCACTGGCTTAAGGATAGATAAGTAGAATAGAATTGAGAACCCAGAAATAAACCCTCAAGTTTATAGTCAATTGGTTTTCAATAAGAATACCAAAACAATTCAATGAGGAAAAAATAATCTTTTTAGCAAATGGTGCAGGAAGAACTGAATGTCAATGTGCAGAAGAATGAAGGTAGACCCCCCCCACTTCACAGGATATAAAAAAACTAATTTGAAATTAGTCAAAGACCTAAATGTAACAGCTAAAACTATAAAACTTTTAGAAAAAAATGTAGAAGTTTTCATGACCTTGGATTTGCCAGTGGTTTCCTAGATATGATATCACATGCATCAGCAAAAAGGGAAAAATAGATAAATTGGACTTAATCAAAAGTACATACTTCTGTGCTTTAAAGGATAATATCAAGAAAGTGAAAAGGCAATGGAATGGAAGAAAATATATCTGATAAGGGAGTTGTACCCAGACTATGTAAAGAATTACAGCTCGATAATAAAAAGACACATAGCCCAATTAAAAAATGGGCAAATGATCTGAAATTTCTCCAAAGAAGATAGAGAAACAGCCAATAAGCACACAAAAATATGCTCAATATCATTAGCTATCAGGGAAATGCAAATCAAAACCATATTGAGATGTGACTTCACACCCAGTAGGATGGCTATAATTAAAAAAAAAAAAACAATAACAAATGTTGACCAGGATGTTGAGAAATGAGAATCTTTATACATCCACTAGGAAAAAGAGTCTGGCTGTTCTTCAAATAGTTAAACATAGAGTTATCATTTGAGCCATCAATTCTACTCCTGAGTATATAACCAAGACGACTGAAAACATTCTTCCACACAAAAAACCTGTGCACAAATGTTTATAGCAACATTATTCATAATATTAAAAAGTGGAGTTGATCATCATCAATTGATGAAAGAATAAGCAAAATGTGGTATAACCATACTATGGAATATTATTTGGCCATAAAAAGGATGACATTTACAACATGAATGAACCTTGCAAACATTATGCTAAGTAAAAGAATCTAGTCTTAAAACACGACATATATGATTCCATTGATATGAAATATCAAGAATAAGCAAGTCTGTAGATATTGAAAATAGATTAGTGACTGCCTAGGTCTGGGGGAATAGAAGGCAATATGGTAATAGCTAAAGGGTATAGAGTTTCTTCTTGGGGTAATAAAAATGTTCTAAAATTGATTAGGGTAATGATTATAAAAATTTTCATATATACTAAAAACCATTGAATTATACAATTTAAATGTGTGAATTATATGGTTATGTATTTCTATAAAGCTGTCAGTTTTTTTTTTGACATAGGAACATAGGAGCTTGATTATGCTTCCATCTATGCTGAGGAATATAGTAGCTGAGATATTCTTATTAAAAATATTTGACCTATAAAAATTACTGGTAGAATTGGAAATTTTATTTTTTATTTGGAAATATTTCTCATATTGTGGGTTTCATGACAAGGAAGCTCTTATAACAATGTTGATGTAATTTTAAAATATAAGAAACAGTGTTCCAGTAATAGTGGAGGAATGAAGTGGTCACATGAAATTTCTTGCAAGTAACATCTATACAAAATAGATTGGAAAAACTCATGAATGACACTGGAAAGTACACAAAATCAGATGGAAGAAGAAACACTGCAACTCTAAGAGATGAGAGTTGTGAGTCTGCAGCTTTCTGGTCTGAAGACAGTTCCTGCCCCCCATGGCTATGGCTGAAACAG